TCTATCTATCTATCTATCTATCTATCTATCTATCTATCTATCTATCTATCTATCCTAATTTTCCTTCCTTTCGTCCTTCACTAAATCTAAAATACATTTTTTTTTGCAAAACAATTATTAATTTGGATTACAATATTGAATAATTTTATAGTATCATTTAAATATAAATAAATCATATACACATAAAAAATAAACACTAAAGACCATTAGTGATCATTAAATTATAAAAAGTACCAAGAAAATGAATACTTATTATAAATGTTTTTTTATAAATATTATTTATAATAAGCAAATGAACCATTAAGTAAAACATTTATTAAGAATAATAATTTAGTTATAATTAAACAGTAGCCATCTGTCAAATGATTAATCGTGATTTATCAAATGTGAATTAAAAGTTTGTATTTACATAATATACACTACTGGTCAAAAGTTTGGAGTAATTTTTTTCATGTTTTTTAAGAAATATGTTTTGTTCATCAAGGTGGCATTTATTAAATGTAAAAACTATTTTAAAATACATTAAATATTTATTTATTACATTTTGTATGTATTTTTAAAAGAAATCATTAGTCCAGTCATTAATGTTTTATTACTATTGCTACTAACATTATTAATAATAATGTTAGTAGCAATAATAATTAATATTAGAGTGATTTTTGAAGGATTTCTGCTGAAGACTGCAGTAATGAAGCTGATTATTCATCATTAAAATCACTGGAATAAATTATTAAATTAAATTATAAACTACTTGTGAACAGTTATTTCATAATGCAAAAACATTTCACAACTTTACAATGTGTACTGTATTTTTAATCAAATAAATGCAGCTTTGGTTAACAGGAGAAGCTTATTTTAAACTTTTAAAAATCACACTGACCCTAAACTATGGACTGGTAGTGTGTGTATTTATATATAGTATTCACCCCTCTGTTTAATTTCCCCCCAATTTCTGTTTAACATAGAGAAGATTTTTTCAACACATTTCTAAAACATAATTTTTTTTTATTATTTAATTTTTATTAGTTTTATTAACTCGCTTCCTATAACTGATTTATTTTATCTTTGCCATGATGACAGTAAATAATATTTGACTAGATATTTTTCAAGACACTTTTACACAGCCTAAAGTGACATTTAAAGGCTTAACTAGGTTAATTAGGGTAACTAGGCAGGTTACGGTAATTAGTCAAGTTATTGTATAATGATGGTTTGTTCTGTAGACTATCGAAAACAAATATAGCTTAAAGGGGCTATTAATTTTGACCTTAAAATGGTGTTTAAAAAAATTAAAACAGTTTTTTTCTGGCCGAAATAAAACAAATAACAAATATTATCAGACATGCTGTGAAAGTTTAATCATTTGAGAAATATTTAAAAAATAAAAAAAATTCAAAAGGGGGCTAATAATTCTGATTGCAACTATATAACTTAAAAAATAAATATAACTTTATTCCACCCTCATATGGTGCTTGTAGAGAGCCAAACCCTGAAGTGGAAAAAAGTGATCTCAGGCTGTTGAGTGGCAGTGTTGTTAATTGGCCGTTACGTGTTCCACATGTCGCCCTGCAGACGCTGCGCAGTTTAACACACACCGGATCGATGAAGAGAGCAGATGAGATTGAGGAATTAAGTGGCAGTGAGGGGCCGGTGGAGAGGGAGGGTCTGGTCATGCTGGCTCCATCCCCAGGGAGGAAAAGCATGTCTGGGCAGTCATGCGTATCCCTCCTCCTCCACTGTAAGGATCTCCTCTGTGTGGGACGGTCCCATCCAGAGCAACACACCGCACTGCACAACACCGCCATCTACTGGCAGAGGCAGAACGCAGCTGTCTCTCACTCACAGGTGTGGCCACTGATGGAGAAAACTCCATTTGAAAAACGCTTTTAGGCAACTTAAAGACATAGTTCAACCAGAAATGATTATGTTTCCATTATTAACTCACCCTCAAGTGGTTATAAACCTTCATAAAGGTTTTTTGTTATTCTGTAGAAAACAACAGAAGTTATTTTGAAGATAGCGGAAAGCCTGTAACCATTGACTTTCATAGTAGGAAAAACAAATACTATACAAGTGAATGGTTACAGCATTCCAAGATCACTGTATCTTCATTTGTTATGTTTAATAACATTTAATGTATGTTTCATTTTAGAATGTTCATTTTTCGGTGAACTGTCCCTTTAAGCGAACTGCAGGTGGGGAAATAAATGGGATTTCATTCCTTGTACCAAGCTCAGCAGATATATAATATAATAATATATTTTTTTGTCAGAGAAAGCTGAGGAAAATGACAATTTTACATGCATTTTATTGTTTACAGAATAATACAATTACTTGATTGTTTGAAACACGTCTCCATTTCTCATACTAATATTAAAAAAATCAGTAATACTAACATATATATATATATATAACTTATATTTCCCAAATGATGTTTAACAGAGCAAGGAAATTTTCACAGTATGTCTGATAATATTTTTTCTTCTGGAGAAAGTCTGATTTGTTTTATTTCGGCTAGAATGAAAGCAGCTTTTAATTTTTTAAACACCATTTTAGGGACAAAACTATCAGCCCCTTTAAGCTAAATTTGTTTTCGATCATCTACAGAACAAACCATCTTTATACAATAAATTGCCTAACTACCCTAACCTGCCTAGTTAACCTAATGAACCTAGTTAAGCCTTTAAATGTCACTTTAAGCTTTTTAGTAGTGTCTTTAATAATATCTAGTAAAATATTATTTACAGTCATGGTGGTAAAGGTAAAATAAATCCATTATTATGAATGATTTATCAAAACTATTTTGTTTAGAAATGTGTTGAAAAAATCTGCTCTCTGTTAAACAGAAATTAGGGAAAAAATAAACAAGCGGTCTAATAATTCTGACTTCAACTGTATACAGTTATATCCTGATGATATTCTGATTATGCTGATGATACTCAGCTTTATATGCCCCTAAAAATGGGAGAAAACTCTGTTTTACAGTCCTTTTTACCTGTTTTAACAAGATTAAGGAATGGTTGGCTGGTAAGTTCTTACACTTGAATGAATCAAAAACTGAAGTGCTAGTGTCTGTGAATCTACAATTAATCAATCAGGTTCGCTTAAACCAAAGGTGCACAGTCACGCACAAAGTCTTGGAGTTATCTTTGACACTGAGTTAAAGTTTAACAAGCAAATAAATAAAACAGTGGCTTCTATCAATTAAGGAACATTCCCAAATTGAAACCTTTTCTGTCTTTTAAAGAGCTGGAAATCATCATCAATGTTTTTATTATGTCCAGATTGGACTACTGCAACTGTATTTACTGTATAATTGTATTTAGGAGTTTTGCAGGCTTCAATTGTACTCCTGCATGTGGTTCAAAATGCAGCTGCTATGCTTTTAACTGGGACAAAAGTTTTTTGTTTTTTTTCACCAGTTTTATCATCCCTTCACTGGCTCCCAGTCCAATTTAGGATTCAATACTATTGCTACTTGTTTTTAAAGGTTTGAATGGTCTAACACCTATTTACATCGGTGAGCTTCTTCACTGGCATACTTCATTGAGGCCAATCAGGTCAGAAAACAAGTTTCAGCTAGTTGTTTACCAAATCACAGTTGAAATCAAGAGGTGACAGGGCTTTTTCTGTCACAGCCCTTCATCTGTGGAATGGTCTGCCTTTGCATATTAGGTCATGTTCTTCCCTTAGTGCTTTTAGATCATATATATATATATAAAAGTGTAGATTTTGTGTGCTGATCTTTTTGTAAAGCACTTTGGTCAACATCTGTTATTTTTAAATGTGCTCTATAAATAAAGCAAACAAATAAACATCTGCAGAATATTGTTGAAGTACTGTCACAGCATCAGCCCAAGAGTTCATGATTCAGATCAGTGATTCCAGAGGTTCACTTTCACTTAGCATGTGCCTAATGGAGCATTTACACCGACAGCAATTAAAGCGCTCAAGGTCATGCATAGACATTGCTATTAGTACCAAACTTTATGACTAGGCGGATCACGTCAGCTGAACTCACATAAGCGCCTGCTGCATCATCAAGATTGTAAGTTTGTTTATGTGTGTACACTGCAAAAAAAGAGCTTGATTACTTCAGTTTTTTTGTCTTTCTATTTGTTTCTAGTCCAAATATCTAAAAGATCTAAAATCAAGAAGCATTTCTAGACAACATATTGGGCTCCATTTTAATGATCTAGGCACCAAGTCTAAAGTGCATGCAACAAAAGCATTAAGGGCATGTCCTAATCCACTTTTGCTATTTTAAAAACAGAAAAATATGCTCAGCATGGTCTAACAGGGCTGTGCTTATTCTCTTAATGAGTTGTGGGTGTGTTTTGAGCATAACGTGCATTAAACCAATTAGAGTCTCAACTACCATTACCTTTTAGAGTCAGTTGTGTCGCGCCATGGTGCATTTGTACTTTGTAAGAGGAAAAACTGAACGCTTCACTAGTGAGAAAACAGTTAAACAGAGCATCTGCAGCACGAGGATAAAGAACGAGCCTCCTCCATTCAGCCTCTTTACTTTCTCTTTACTTTTACTCTTTACTCCTTTACTTTGGTGGAGTAATGAATCGGTGAACAGAAGACATCCATTAGCCGACATATTTAGTTTTGTTTGTCAAGCACAAAGATTTGATTCAAAACTATTTCTAAATTCAGTTCTAATCTATAGCAAAGGAATAAATGGACAATAATAATGAAGTGTGGTCAAAAAGCGGAGGTATATCCAAACACACGTCCTGTTCTTATGCCCCATATGGTGATGCAGATGTCTTCAAAATCCCAAAGGTGGACACATCTAAACTTGTTTTTATTCAAATACATATAAATCTGCATATAATAAATAATACGAATAAAAATAACAAAATTATACTAATGAAATTGTGTGGTGGACGTGGGTCACGGTTACATTTATTTCCTGGTTTTGTTCCAGCGATTATTCATTTACAAATTAAGCACTGCCTTCAGCCCTGTATATTAGTATGCTCCAGTACCTGAGCGCACCAGCTCCTGCTCCATCACTCCACATCCCAGCACCTCCATCCAGTCCCCCTGAAAGAACACCTCCATCTCGAAGGACGGATGTGTGAAGGGGAAGTAACAGTCCACCCAGCGGATCTCCAGATCTGCAGAAACACACAGATGGAGCTGAGCTGGACAGAGGAAGAGGAGAAACAGACGTGTGAACATGGCAGGATTCCTACCTTCCCCGAAAAGGTGTCGCACGAGGCGCGTGAGAGCGCGTTTCAGATCAAACTCCAGCAGTTTGACGGCCTCCAGCGTGTGCGTCTCCTGCTTTTGAGGCGTTCGCCGACCGCCACGCTCAAACAAAGACAGATCTTCACCATTCTCCACTCCAGCAAACAGCTAGCAGACACAGAAAACACGTCTGCGTTATATTAAAGTTAGCGCTCACACGGCTGTCATTAAAACACATCTTCATCACAGACTTGCACTTTAAATAAAACAGCTTTTCCACAGATTTCCACAGGGCTCAAAAGGACTGATTTAACATCACAGTTAAATCAATATAAACAGCACGTCTTTTTAAGGACTATTTCAGTATCCATCTATCCATCCACCAATCCATTTCTATTCATCTACTGTACCACTCCATCTAAACATCTATTGTTTCATCCATCCATCATTCCATCTATCTATCTATCTATCTATCTATCTATCTATCTATCTATCTATCTATCTATCTATCTATCTATCTATCTATCTATCTATCTATCTATCTATCTATCTATCTATCTATCTATCTTGTTCTACCACTCCATATATCGATTTATTCATCTATAGTTACATCCATCCATCCATTGTTCAATCATTCCATCGATCTATAATGCCATTTATCCATCCATCCATCATTCCAGCCATCGTTCCATCTATCCGTCCATCCTTCCATCCAACCATTCAACCACTGTTCCATCCACCCTTCCATCCATCCATTCATCTATCATTCTACCTACGTTCCATCTATCCATTTATCCATCCATCATTTCAGCCATCATTCTATCATTCCATATATCTATCTATGCATCCATCTATTGTTCCATCTATCCATCCATCCATCGGTTATCTATCTATCCATCAATCTATCTATCTATCCATTTATCTATCTATTTATCTATCTATCTATCTATCTATCTATCTATCTATCTATCTATCTATCTATCTATCTATCTATCTATCTTTTGTCCAATCTATCCATCCATCCATCTATGTATGTTTAAAATGTAGTTTTACAGATGTTTTGGTCATTTATGAATATGATTCATCATTTTATTTATAATGTCATGTGCATAAAAATTCGAACCTCATGATTGGAGAACAGCCGCACTCCCTCCATCTGATGGAAGACAGGATAGTGGCTGGAATCGACCTCATCTCTCCTGTAAACGTCTCCGGCCAGCAGAAAGCAGTCGAGGCCCGAGCGCACCAGCTCTTTCTGATGGGCGGAGGTGTGCGCCCTCAGCATGTGTGTGCGGTTCAGGTAATAATTCTCTCCTTTTTTGCGACTGGGGTGGTCTGCAGGAATGAGCAGGCTGTCGAAGTTCTGCTCCACCGTCACTACCGGCCTCAGGTTGTCATGTACAGAAAAGATGGGGTTTCCAGTGCGACCCACGTACGAGCGATAGAAATGGTCTTTGATGCGTTCTTTAATAAGCCACAAGGGGTGGTGCGGCCGGTTGTGAAGCTGACAGCCGACTTTGGACAAGATTTTAGCTGTCACATTGGTCATGTCGTCTCGTGGGTAGACATGGTTGAAAAGTTGAACAGAGTTTTCTTGAATCTGTGGCTGTGCAGCGGAGCCATCCGTCGACAGGCAGCGGGACACGCTGAAGACTCTGGCAGGACAGTGACGAATAATGTGTTTGAGGAGTGGGACCACAGTACGGGAACTACTGTATAATGGCATAGTAGCTGGTCCATAAGCCTGTGAGAAAAAAAGAGAAAATATTGAGTTATAAGAACTAATCCACATGTTTCTGCAGGTACAATTGTCCAATTTTCTAAGAACATTCATTCATTCATTTATTTTCTTTTCGGCTTAGTCCCTTTACTAATCTGAGATCGCCACAGCAGAATGAACCGCCAACTTATCCAGAACATGTTTTACGCAGCGGATGCCCTTCCAGCCGCAACCCATTTCTGGGAAACATCCACACACACATTCACACGCACACTCATACACTACAGACAATTAAGCCTACCCAATTCACCTGTACCGCATGTCTGTGGGGGAAACCAAAGCACCCAGAGGAAACCCACGCGAACGCTGGGAGAACATGCCAACTCCTAAGAACTTTCAATGCGTTAAAAAAACTAAAAAAAATAAGAGTCTACTTGAAAATACTTTTTTCTGTTTTCACTGTGTTTGGTTTGAGTTGAGACTTAAAATCCATTTTATTCCTTAAATCAGTGGTTCTCAAAGTGGGGGTCGGGACCCCTTGGGGGGTCGCGGGACATTGACAAGGGGTCGCTTGGTGATTTCCAAAAATTTATTAAACTATTTGAATTACCATATTTTATTCATAACCCACAGAAGATAGTTAATAGTTGCTTAAAAGAACCAACAACATACAAATCAGCCATCAGCCTTTAATTTTTATATTAAAATGTAATTAAATTATTAAATGACTACAAAAAACATTATATGGTTAATAGACTGTTGCATTTTTGTGTTGTCAATATGCTCATGTTTATAAATGCCTGTAGTTGTGTTTGCAACGTTTACACAGTATAACCATCTTAAAAAATAGGGGGTCCCGAGTCACTGACATTGTTATTTTGGGGGTCGCGGGCTGAAAAGTTTGGGAACCCCTGCCTTAAATGTTTGATAACATTTTTATCAATAATACAAAATATTTAGAGCATTTGTCGGTGCTCTGTTTTCTCTGTCACTTACAAACACTGTTGTCAGTGCGTTGGAGATTCTCAGGCACGCTGGGCTTTGGTGGAGCGGTGTGAGAGTTAGATTACATTACCAGGATGTCAGATGAGCTTGTGCACGGGGGACTTAACCTCAGAACCCCCCCGTGAGATGTGCGCTGCCTGTTCTAACTTGTGACATAGGAAGCGAGGCCTCGAGAGAAAGCTGATGGAAATAGCAGGTGAGAGCTCATGGCCTCACAAATGGAGAAACACCGCCAAACACACGCTCGTCCTGTTGTTTATTTGCTGCCAGCACACGGCACATTAAAGCAGGATCTGATATCCATCACACAGCGGGCTCAATTCAGGGCGTCATAATACACTGTGGATGTGATTTATGGGGGAGCGCAGAGTAATTGAATTAAGGGTGGTCTCATCCTCATTGCCCCCCTTTGATTTCCTCATTTTGTTCGGTTTTGTCTGTCTCTGACAATCTCTTTGAGCTTTGTTTTTGTGGCTTACACTCTCACCATGAAACGTTGTGGTGGTATTGTGATAGTATTAGGTGGCTATAGTATCTTACTGTATGCATGTATCATTGTGTGGTACAATACAAGCCAACAAAACATACTTCACTTGACTTTAAAGAACACAATAGACTAGACATAGCACATTAAACATGGAAATCTTCAGTACTTTCAAGGTAATTTAAAGAAAACTGCAGTACGACTATGATATACACATATATATACTCACCAGCCACTTTATTAGGTACACCTGTCCATATGCTCATTAACGCCAATTTCTAATCAGCCAATCACATGGCAGAAACTCAAAGCATTTAGGCATGTAGACATGGTCAAAACGATCAGCTGCAGTTCAAACTGAGCATCAGAATGGGGAAGGTGATTTAAGTGACTTGGAGTGTGGCATGGTTGTTGGTGCCAAACGGGCTGCTCTGAGTATTTTAGAAACTGCTGATCTACTGGGATCTTCATGCACAACCATCTCTAGGGTTTGCAGAGAATGATCTGAAGAAGAGAACATATCCAGTGAGGGGCAGTTCTGTGGGTGCAAATGCCTTGCTGATGTCAGAGGAGAATGGCCAGACTGGTTCCAGTAATTAGAAAGGCATTAGTAACTCAAATAAGCACTCGTTACAACCGAGGTCTGCAGAAGAGCATCTCTGAACACACATCACGTCCAACCTTGAGGCGGATGGGCTACAGCAGCAGAAAACCACACCGGGTGCCGCTCCTGTCAGCTAAGAACAGGAAACTGAGGCTACAATTGACACAGGCTCACCAAAACTGGACAATAGAAGATTGAAGAAACGTTGCCTGCTCTGATGAGTCTCCATTTCTGCTGACACATTCGGATGGTCGGGTCAGAATTTGGCATCAACAGCATGAAAGCATGGATCCATCCTGCCTTGTTTCATCGGTTCAGGCTGGTGGTAGTGGTGTAATGGTGTGGGGGATATTCTATTGGCACACTTTGGGTCCATTAGTACCAAATGATCATCGTGTCAACACCACAGCCTACCCGAGTATTGCTGCTGACCATGTCCATCCCTTTATGAGCACAGTGTACCCCTCTTCTGATGGCTACTTCCAGCAGGATAACGCATCATGTCAAAGCGCGAATCATCTTAGGCTAGTTTCTTGAACATGACAATGAGTTCACTGTACTCAAAGGACCTCAACAGTGACCAGAGCCGAATCCAATAGAGCACCTTTGGGATGTGGTAGAACTGAAGATTCACATCATAGATGTGCAGAAAATCTGCAATGCGTAATGCGACATGTCGACTTGGACCAAAATCCCTGAGAAATATCCCCAGTACCTACGTCAAAGGGGGTCCAATCCGGTTCTAGTAAGGTGTACCTAATAAAGTGGCCGGCGAGTGTACATATACTGAAAAACATATTTTTGCTGCTTGTTTATCATGCTACTTATTTAAAATGAGCTGAATCTACACAATTCATGAGTTCCTTTGGGATAATTTATTAGTTTTATATTCAATCCACTTTTGGATTGTAAGTTGTAATTTAACTGACAGAAAAAGAATCAGTTTTTCTGGGACAACCTAATCATTTTTACAAAATCAAGTTGATTAAACATAAAACAATGAAATTGTCCCAAGAACCAAAATCTTTTTTATTGTCAGTTTATTTATTTTACACTTTTTAACCCAATGGTTGGGTTTGTCCATATTTGACCCAATGTTGGGTTACAACAATCCAGTATTTTTAAAGTGTACAGCAATTGAGAGTCAAAAACACATGATGCGAGTCTCCAATGTGGAATAAAGAATGACATCATGCAAACATTACACAAACATTATAGGAATCGGTTTATGTGGAATTTTTAAGACTGAAAATACCAATAAATAATTTCAGACAGCTCAAAATGACTATTATTTTATGAGATAATAACTCCAGTTACCTTTGCAGACCTTTTAAATCCACAAACAGATATATTACACACCATATGAAATCTAATATCTGAAAAAAGCACAGCAGGGCTCTATAAAAGTCCCAGTCAGTCGTCATCCTCCTGCCTCTCTCTCCATCTCTCACTCTTTCTCTCTCTCTCTCTATCTCTTAGTTAAAAGGCTGCAGGTTTGGTTCAGGTGCTGGATGTTCTGAGGACAGAGGAGAGAGAGAGAGAGAGATGAGCTGTATTTATCCCAGACTAACATCTTCTTTCTCTCTGCCCTGCCCAAATATTTACTTTGGCCGAGCAATATTTTATGAGACTGAAAAATAAAGGGACAGACTGATTTTTCCCCTCTCCTCTCATCACTCTTTCTCACTAGATCCAGTGAGCGGTGCAAAACAGAGGCATTGTCACTCTCTGAGACTTATGCACTCGCAGGTACACCAGCATACTGTCAGGGCTAACAGCGTCATGAGAAGCTGCAGGTACAACAAGAGAGAGCGTTGCACTGCAGTGACATTGCAGTATGGCAGCGCTCAAGATGCTGCTCCAGTTAACCCCGAGTGCTTCAAATGAAAGCACTATGGTATTTAGATATTACACTAGCAGTCTAATGATTGTCAATAATAAAGCGCCCCTAGTATGCTATTCTATAGGATCATTGTGCTCTGGAGGTCTCACACAATAGTCTTACATCAATCCAAGGTCAATAAGCATTTTAATTCTCTCATAACATCTACTGTATTACAACGTCAGCTCTTTTCTTGTTTTCAAGAGTTAAAGGATGAGCAATTGAAAACCCTCTGTTGTGATTGGTCATGTGGCTCAGTCTGGGCAACGTTTTGAGGAAACAGTCATTGAATCGTTCATACAACAAACAATTGATTCAAGTAAATGGCTCTTTTTATGAATGGGTCATTAAATCATTGGCTCTATTGACTCGCTAAAATTGGAGATTCCTTCAGAAATGACTTACCTTCAGACTGATAAAACTGACAAAAACATGCAATATAGTGTTATGTTAATGTACAATATGAACCTATTAGAAGGACGGTGCTCCCTGACTGTATAATGCCCCATTCACTTTACTGGGGCATTAAGACTCACGCAGACCACAGGTTGAGCGCCCCTGCTGCCTTCATTAACACCACTTCTGGCACCAACCTACTTTTCCCATTTGGTCTCCCATCCAGGTTCTGACCAGGCTCAGCCCTGCTTATCTTCAGTGAGTAACTGGTCTTAGGCTGCAGCGTGATATGGCTGTGGTATATTTTAGTTACTATACTCTCAAAATCATTCTGCAAAATACCCTTAAAATTGTTTGCATGGAATATATATATATTTATATATATATATTTATTTATATTTATATTTATTTATATTTATATTTATTTATATATATATATTTATATTATATCTATATATTTATATTATATATATATATATATATATATATATATATATATATATATATATATATATTTATATTTATATATATATATATTAGTTTTTTTTTTATTCCATGCCAAAATAGCAAAAGCAGATTCTGTCTGCTCATTAGCACACTATTTTGGTGGGGGGGGGAACCCTTTTTATGAAAAAAAAATTGTTTAAAAGGGG